TTGTTTGCGACTACAAAATAATAAACGAGTTAGTAACTTCAAGGAAATAATAAAACAATAACTAAATTAAATTAAATAAAATAAGGTTGATTTTGGGGCCAAACCCTCAAACGATTCTACCTTTCAAGCCTTGGCTTAAGGACAGAACCTCGAGTAAAAAATATGGACTCCTTTGAGTGCTTGAAGAAGGAATTTTGAAGTAAAAAGGGGAGGCTAGTGTTTAGGTTAATAGCATAGAAGAGAGAAAATAAAAATAATAAAATTCTGGTCGCCCCGTACATCAGAAATGAGGGGGTATTTATAGGGAAAATGTGCTGAGGGAGCACACGGAACCCTAAAATGATAAAAACCCTAAAAAAGTATCCCGTGACACGGTCAGACTGTACTGTGACACGGTCAGACCGTACCGTCAGACGGTACACTTCCCCGTGACACGGTACAGTTTTGGAGTGACGCGGGAAATTTTCAGAAAACGGTATAAAAAACGCGTTAAGGGTTTACGCGGAAAGGACACGGAACGTCCCGTGTCACGGGAAGTCCCACCGTCAGACGGGAAAGGGCCCGTGACACGGTGGCAGTCTGCCGTGACGCGGGAACTTCCAGTCCATTTTTCCGTCTAAATTCATTTTTAACCCTAATTTCTTTCGGCTTTTTAAGTGCCGATTGATAATTTCGGGATTTTTTCTAACTTTTATTATTCGGGCTAAAATAAGAAAATGATTAAATAAAATAATAAAAATGTTTGGGCCAAAAACAATAAAATAAAATAAAAAGGTTTGGGCTTAAAATTAATTAATAAGTTTGGGCTGAAATTAAAACTATACCTTTACCAAACATCAAGACTAATCCATGGACCGTTCAAAAGTATGAATTTAATACGATTTTTTAAGCACTCTCGGGATTAAATACTAAACCCGACCAATAGTGGCGGTGAAAGGTTATTTATCATCGGGTTTGGTTTTGGGGAGACATTTTTAGGTGTCTACAGAAGCCCCCACTTTGACCGAGTTTGTAGAAACATCAGTTTCGAAAACGATAGTCAAAGTAGCCGATAGGGACGGAGAATGATTTAAGACGTTCTGCGATCCTAAATCATTCTGTATACGCCGATACCTGCAGAAAAATGTTAATTCCACAGATAAAAGAGTAAAGGGATAGAATACGTATCTGACACCAGTGTATCGGTGACAAACAAATTTGGCAGCTTCCTAAGCTTGAAGGAATCCACCGAATGACATTTGTTGAAACGTTTTTCCATGCTTGAGGAAAGCCGACTGAAGAGTTTGGTAGTTTTCTAAGCCTGAAGAAAGCTACCGGATGACGCTTTCCATGCCTGAGGAAAGTCGACGAACGAATTTGGTGTCATTCTATGCTTGAAGAATTCCACCGATAATGCCTTCCATGCTTGAGGAAAGCCGACAAAGGAATTTTGTGGTTTTCTATACTTGAAGAAAAATCCACTGATGATGCTTTCCATGCCCGAGGAAAGCTGACTTGGCGGTTTTCTATACTTGAAGAAAAATCCACCGATAACGCTTTCCAAGCCTAAGGAAAGCCGACTTAGCGGTTTTCTATACTTGAAGAAAAATCCACCGATAACGCTTTCTAAGCCTGAGGAAAGCCGACGATTGCTGAAATTGGTAAGTGTATGGTGGTTTGATTATCCCCGAACGTGGGCCGCAGATGATTCACAATTTTAAGCCGATTATCCGACCATATTAAATGTTTAAAATGCCGAAAAATAGACTTTGACACTTGTCAACGGTAAAATGGTAATTCAGTCCCCCTTAAATATCAGTTAGAATTTTCCGCGTAATTCTAGCGAAAAATAACCGCTCAATAATCTCGAAAAAAATCAGTCAAACTAGTCAAAAAGGCCAGGAATATTCCCTGACCAAGTGCAGAATTGCCGCGCCACGTCAAACACTTCCCGTGACACGGGAATGACTCCCCGTCAGACGGGACAAGATCCCGTGTCACGGGACTTTTTTTTTCTTTTTTTTCTTTTTCTCTTTCACTGTTTGAATCGGTCAAAGCACGAACGGTTACTTTCTTGTCTTTAAAAACGCATTTCTGTTTCACTACTTCACCATTTCACATCTCCTCTCTCACTCCAAAAGTTCAAAAAAAACCTTTGGTTTACCGTACCTCATCAAGTTCTCACCGGCGCTCGGCTTGCCTTCCCGTTGGCCGGGTTTTACCAACCGTGTCACGGTTTCCTGCATTCCCTCTCTCTCACTTTTTCTTTTTTTTTTTTATTTTTTTTATTTTGCTTTCGGTTTTTTTTTGCTGCTAGAAGCTACCGTTGTTCGCTGCTGCTGTTGCTGTCTCCGCCCGGGCTGCCGTCGAGATCACCAGAGCTCCGTTGAGCTTTGAAGCTCACCGTGACACGGGACAGCTTCGCCGTGTCACGGATTTCGTTGACCGTGTCGCGGCGGTCCTGCTGGTGGCCGGAAGTTTTTTCGAGCTTTGACGTTCGAATTTTCACCAATTTGCTGTAATTTCTTGCTATTTTCCTCATTTTTTGACTCTCTACAAACATCCATGTAAGTTTCCTTTGATTATTGCTTTGAATTTGCTTCACATAAATAATTTCATGACAAACCCTAAAAAAAATCAATTTGGGGGTTTTTGATTTTGAAGTTTTATATTGAAATTCTTGCCATGATTTTGCTTGTATATGTATACATGTGTGTTTGTGAGAGATTTGAGGCAAATATTGCATGATTCGATGGAGAATTGAGCAAATCACCATTTTTGGGTGCTACCTTGTGAAATAATGTTCATGTTTTGTTCTTGAAATGGTGGTGAATCTTGTGAAATGATGTGTTGATTCATATTTTGCGTATGTTCTATATTGTCATGGAGAACATAGTATCATGCGGCTAGGAGAACTGTAGTATTAGTTTGTCGTGGAGAAACTAAATACCATAATTTTGCCAATTTTTAGCTTGGAGCTAAAAATTTAGCATATAATTAAATAACTTAGGAAATGATGCTAAGTATTTTTATTTTTGCAACTTGAATTAAATGTTTAGGAAATGATGCTAAACATTTAGATTTTGATAATAGCATGCCTAGATGACGAAATTGCGATCTATCTACCCGCGGCCGGCGTCGGGCTTTTCGGGAGGACACTCCCACTGTCCCTGAGGGCATGGACGACGATGCTTTAAAGTCCGAGCCTCGGGCATCCGCGAGTAGAGGTAGGTGGGTTCCACCTCCGTGGACTCCAGACCAGTTGGTTTTCTGCCGTGAAAACCATGTCTCTCATCGCTCACTCTCTGGCATAGTCGATGGCACGCTTCGCCACCACGGTTCTGGAGCCGGCGATTTGATCCCTCGACTTCACCAGATCATTACGAGGGATCCTGCTACGAGCGCCTTATGGGAATCGGCTGGTTCAGTAGATTTCTATATGGCGGTTGTAGGGTTTCGCAGCCCCCGGGGTTGCGGTACGACGGTCGTTCGCGCATTGTTGGAGTATTTTTGGGATACTACCAACACTTTTGATTTTGCTTGGGGGGAGATAACGGTGACCCCCCTAGACTTCAGTATGATCAGCGGGTTGGGCTTCACCGACCAGGTTGTAGCTCAGATGTCTGATCTGTCTTGGGGATCGGCTGAGACAGCTAATTTGTTGGGTCCGATTGTTCAGTACATCAGGTCCTGACCAGTGTCTCGAGGTGGTCCTAGGAGCGGACAATCGGAGCTGGCTTCAGTTTTAGCTCGTGGCTTCGACATGGAGGATACGACGGCTGAGCAGTGAGTGCGGATTTTCATCCTGATCCTTATTTCTATGACCCTTTCTCCCGATAGGAGTTCACGTGTACTCCTTTGCTACCTCCCCGCTCTAGTCAGGATCCATGAGATAGGATCCTATAGCTGGGCTAGCCTTGGATACGCCGATCTCCTCCTATCGCTACGTCATGGCTGTCGGCAGCTGAATGACGAGTCTCCCATCACCGTCTATGGTCTGTGGAGAGTCGTAGAGGTGATGATCTTTTCCCTTTTTGTTTCACTTTAACTTGTTCGACTCATGTGCTAAAGATTACTTTTCATCGCAGCTATGGTTCTACGAGTACTTCCCAGGCTTGGCTCCTCGCCGGCGTCGTGTAGCGGTCCATGATTTCCCTGTTGGGGCCAGCTGGCGTGATCGAGGAGAGTCGCGGGTGGAGTCTGTCCCTGCACTGTGTGGGCTGCTACGCCGAGGCACCTCTTCTGTCGGCCTAAGAATCAGTTTTGTTGCTGTTATTTTCCCTCTAACGTTGTTTCTGTTGCTTCACGCCGAATTTTTATGGTTTTCAGGTTGCCATTGATGTCCAATATCGTTCTTGGGCCGGGATGACTGATCTACCCGAGGCCCTGCGTCTTTCAGCGTACCGTACCATTTTGGTTGGTACCGGACGCTTTGTCTGGTATTTGGGGAGCGAGTCGTTCGTCAGCATAGCGGCGATCGCTTTGTGGTGCCCTCATCTCCACCAGAGTCGATGCTGGACTCACGCTTGATCAGAGAGTTGATCAACAGGGGAGAGCGCTATACTTTTCCAAGGAAGGAGCTTGTACACATGGAGAGTGACTATGCGCGGGATTTTCTTCCCTCTCTGGCTCCTCCACCCCGTCTTCCTGAGGTATGATTTCTTTTGAGGATCTTCTTTATTAGTCTCTGTTTTAAATAGTTGAATAACTTGATTATTTGATCATATTTTGAGACGACCATTCGCCCTGTGGGGAGGATCGAGATTCCTCCTCAGTCTGTTCGCTATCCAGGGCCGATTGGTATCACAGAGGACCATATTATTGACGCGCCAGAGGGTTACAGACAGGCGCATGAGTCTCTGCCCGAGGTCTTTGAGCCGGTGAGTTCTCTTGGATGCATTATTCATCCTTTTAAAAATGTTTATTACTGACTTTTCTTTGTTTTATCCTTAACCTAACCGCCCGGAGATGATGGGACTCATGAAGCTGGTTGACGCCCTGAAGTATTGCATCATCAAGCTTCGGCGTGGTGCGAGTTGTCTGAGCTCTAGCGACGTTCTTGAGGTATCATTCATTTTTATTTACCATTTGTTTTATTTTGCATTGTTGACACCTTTTGGTTTTGTATCTTTCAGGAGCAACGGAGGTCCCGCTCACGCTCGAGGCACAGAGGCTCGGATGAGGAGCAGCTTGGTCGTGGTAGACGATCTCCTGAGATTCACCGACGTTTTCATTCTCAGCGAGAGCCTCAGGTTACTCAGCCATTTCAGGAGGCTCAGTGGCAGCAGTCTCCGTCTTCTCAGCGCTTTCCAGGCCAGAGTTAGGGGCAGCGTCAATTGTTTTCACAGCCTCCACAGCCTGAGTTTGGGTCTGTTTTGACTCCCTTGGATCCTGGTTTGTTTTCAGCTCCATTGTCCGGGATTCCTCCACCGGTGTCGGGCTTATTCTCAGTTCCGCTATATGGGACGATGCCTTCACCGACGATTCCAGTGTCTCTGGGCCTGTCTACTCCATTTTTCGGTTGGACGGGTCCTGCCTTGAGCTTGACTACTGCTGGGGTTACAGGGACTAGTAGAGACACTACTCCCCGTACTCGGATGGTGGAGGGACTCTTCGGTTCGCCGTTCCCATATGCACAGGATGGACCACATGCACAGGGTGGAGATGAGACTGATTCTGGCTCTAGAGACTTTTGACCGAGGGTTTTTATTTATACATACTATGATGACACTTGACATATTTACGTATTACGACTCTTTGTACATTATTTACGGCTTATGTATTTATTATTGTGTGTTAGTGTGTGTTTGAGACTCCTTGTGTGTGATTGTGTATTTATTAACGACACGACGAAAAAACATAAGTGGAGTAATAGAGGGTACCGACCTTCCCCAAAAGAAAAAGAAATAAAAAGACAAGCAAAATAAAATTACTTTCCCCAAAAGAAGAGAAATAAAAATAAAAATAAAATGATAAATAAATAAAATTACCCTCCCCAAATGATAAAAAATAAAAATAAATGAAATTACTTTCCCCAAGAAAAAAAATAAATAATGTGATAAAGAAATAAAATCTTAAATAAATAAAATAAAGATAAAATTAAGAATATAAAAAGTGAGACTTTTATTAGAAATAAAACTCTCAAAAAAAAACAAAAACTAAAAAATAAACGATGAAGATAAAATATTATAAAAAATCCGGATAGATACGGGAAAAGATGAAAAAAGGAGAACGCGTGAAGTGTCGTGACACGGCACTGTGTACCGTGTCACGGCAGGGCTTGCCGTGTCACGGCAAAGGTTCCCGTGACACAGTAGAACTACCTGTGTCACGGGATGCGTATTATTCAGCGGTATGTTTTACGCGTATGAAAAGATAAATTCTGGGCAGTTTCGAGCGCTTTTGCTATAAAATAAGACCAGATTATTCATGATATGCATAATTACGAAACACAAAATAATTTAGAATTTCATATTTCATTAATCATGTCTCAGAATTTTGATAATACATTGCGCGACTGGTCTTATTCTTTGACCAATGCTGAAAAAAGAGAGTTAGAATTGTTTCATGTCAGGGGTTTGCTAGCCCTACGACACGTAGCTATTGAACACGATTTTCTTAGGGCAGCATTAGATTATTGGAGTCCAGAAACACATTGTTTCAAATTTGATTATGATGAAATATGTCCTCTGCCGAAGGAATTTGGTGCAATCTTTGGATTTCCTGCTATAAATCTTATTTCCATGCCTACCCTACGTGAATATTATTACCAAGATTTTGAACGCCATCTGAATCTAACAGATCCAGATTTAAATAGAATTGTTTGTGGTAATGAAGTAGACTTAGAAAAACTTGCTAATTTATATTTTGATCGCCCTATCTCTGAGTCTTATCATGTATATCGTAGAAGGGCATATATTTTTTGCATGTTTAGCAAGCTACTATTTGCAAACGGTAGGGTAGGACATGCTTGTCTAGCGTCTGTGCTTGAGCATGTTGAGTCCGGAAGATCTCCTATGCCGACGTACCTTGGAGAAACATTTGTGGTCTTGACGAGGCAAAAGCTAACCGGAAAGCCATCAGGAAGGGCTCTCTAGTACTACTGCAGGTAAAAACACGCTCCGAATAGCCCCCGTGACACAAAATAGGAACCATGTCACGGTGGGTGTCTGCCGTGACACGGTTAAAACTGCCGTGTCACGGGAATCTGCAGTATATATATATATATATATATATATATATATATATATATATATATATATATATATATATATATATATGTATGTATATATATATTTTTTATTTTATTTTATTTTTGATTAATAATTTTTTTTTTTTTTTTTTTTTTTTTTTTGCAGATTTGGTTGATGAAGCGTTTGGAATTATTTGAAGCCCCCGACGATATTGAAAAATATGGCCCTAACGACCTAGTCCGTAGGAAAAAGAATTACTCTACGAACATGTCGTATGAAGATTGAAAAAATTTCTTTGCAAAGAGGGAATTTTCCATTCGTTGGGTGGTGCCTTGGTGGAGGCTAACTAGGATGGTTGGCACGAATGAAACTCCATATTGCCGTGTTCCAAGTATCTCCAAACTGACCTTTTACTGTCCTTCTCGACTGATGCGGCAGTATGGACTTGAACAAGTAATCCCACGCTATAACGATAGTCCTCGTGAAGTATCGTTGCATAAGAGTAACGTTCACAAGTACGAGGCTTATTGGATTGGAAGACCTTTGTGGACCGTTTCTGCAAGTGACCAAGCTCCTCCTCCTTTATCTAGTGCATACAAGGCATGGTTGAACCCTAGAAGTAGGAGGGAACGATTCGGATCACGCAAGTCTGATGTGAAGAGTCGTCTTGGAAATAAGAAGGCTCCTCCTAAAGATCGTCTAGGTCCGAGAACACAAGGAATTGAGTTTAAGACTCCTATGACGCCAAGAAAGAAGAACTATGTGAAAGGGAAGGGTAAAGAAAAAATGGTGTATAGGGAGAAACAACCGAAAAAGTTCAAGAGAGGTGAAAGGGGTGAAAGTTCGACTAGGGGTGTGACGGTTCGGGCTACAAAAGACACATTAATGGTGAAGGCCGACCTAATTGAGCAAGAGAAGGATGTTCCAAAAGAGAAGAGAGATTAGATCAATAGTGCTTTGCATTTTATGATTTATAATTATTATTTAAAATAAGGCATATGATGCTAATACTTGTAGTCGCATTTATTTTGATAATAGCACCTTTATTTCAGCCTTAAAAATAAAAGTTACAATGACTTTATTTATTATTTATTTATCTGAGTCAAGGAGTCGGACGCAATGGAAGAACGAAAATAAAAACTCGAACAGTTAACAAATGCGCCAATATTCCGAAAATAAAACGGAAAAACTGAAATTCCACCGTGTCACGGTGAAAGGGTCCCGTGACACGATACAAATTCCCGCGTCACGACAATATATATTTATTTTTTTTTTGGTTTTGCTGACAGAGGGTGACGTGGCATGGGAACTTCTCCCGTCAGACGGGATAAATTCCCGTGTCACGGGAGTTCCTCTTTCCTTTTTTTTCGTTCAGGCCCACCGAGTCACGGTGAACAGTACCGTGAAACGGTAGGATGTCCCGTGTCGCGGCAATTCCCTTTTTTTTTTGGCCGTGACGCAGTGCTGAACCGAGCGCGTATTTGATCAAGCGGATTTTTTTTATTTTAAAGTGGTCGGGCCCCCTTGAGGGGTTGCCTACGTATCCTAAAAAGGAATCAGGCCAAACGTAGCTCTATTGGGTCATGAACCCATGCGACTAGGCATAGAATTTCTTGAGCTGATCCAAGTTGGTTAAATTATGGAAGCCGTTACCATCCATGTCTACCAATTGTGCCACTCCGCCAGACAGGATGGCTTTAACAATGTACGAGCCTGACCAGTTCGGTCTGAATTTTCCACTTGGATCTAACACATTTTTACGAAGTGCCTTAAGCACTAGGTCACCCTCTTTGATATTTCTGGTCTTGACTTTTTTATTAAAATGTCGTGCCATACGCTGTTGGTAGGTTTGGACATGATGCAAAGCTGCCAAGCGTTTTTCATCAAGCAAGACCAGTTTGTCGTATCTTGCTCTAATCCAGTCGACTTCATCTAGTTGGCTTTCCAATGCGATTCGAAGAAAAGGTATTTCGAGCTCGATTGGTTGTACAGCTTCAACTCCATAGACCAAAGAGAAAGAGGTGGCCCCTGTTGATGTACGAACAGAGGTTCGATAACCCCAAAGGGCGAAATGTAGCTTACTTGGCCAATCCTTATAATTTTTAGTCATCTTTTCGATGATAGTTTTCACATTTTTGTTGGCCGACTCGACTGCTCCGTTTGTTTGTGGTCTGTAAGGTGATGATCGGTGATGTTTGATATGATATTTCTGTAATAATTCCGCGCATTCGGCTTGGAAATGTGTTCCATTATCACTGATCATATCATGTGGTACCCCATAGCGGCATATGATATTTTTCTCAATGAATTGAGCTACGTGTTTTGCCGTCAGCTTGGCATATGAGGCAGCCTCGACCCATTTGGTGAAGTAGTCGATTGCTACGAGAATGAATTCATGCCCCCCTTGTCCTGGTGGTGTTATTTTTCCAATGATGTCAATGCCCCAAGTGGAGAAAGGCCATGGAGAAGTACACGTGTAGAGAAGCGAAGGTGGAACATGCTGTAAGTTTGCATAGATTTGACACTTCATACATTTCTTGACGTATTCATGACAATCTCTCTCCATAGTAGTCCAATAGTAACCTTGTCGTTGAATCTTTTGGACTAACATCTTTGCATTCATGTGAGTTCCACATATACCAGCATGAAGGTTTTCCATGGTTTTATGTGCTTCTTTCTTGGCTATACATAAGAGATTCCTTCCCATTGCAGTTCTCTTGTGGAGTTCTCCCCTGATGAGCACATACTGTGAGGCCAGGAGCCTTAAGGCACGGCGTGCCCTTTTATCAGTATTAGGAGGGTATTCTCCTCTGGTCACATAATTAAGGATGTCCGTATACCATGGCTCTATGTCTTCTTGTTGTGGTTCTTGTTCATCGTCAAGCGCATGGATATAAGCTGGCTCATATCTTCTCTCTATGGTTAGTGGCGTTCTGATTGTGTCAGCTGGAATTCGCACCATTGATGCTAATTTAGCTAATGCGTCGGCGAACTGATTTTCTTCTCTTGGAAAATACGTATATTCCACTTCATCTAGTTGCTCCGTGAGAGTTTCTAAATGATCTTGATACGTAGCGAGACTTTCACTTCTCACTTTCCATCTCTTGGAGATTTGGTTAATGATTAGTGAAGAACCACCGTAGATTCTGAGTTTCTTAATTCCCAAGGCGACAGCTGTTTCTAACCCCAGAATGCATGCTTCATATTCTGCGGCATTGTTGGTGACATCAAAGTAGAGCTTCATGGAAATTGGGATATGCTCTTCATTGGGTGATACGAGCAAGACTCCTACACCACATCCCTTTTGGTTTGAAGCTCCATCAAAATAGAGCGTCCAACTATCATCTTCAGCCATGAGTAAATCTTCGTTAGGGAAATCATACTCATCTTCTTCTTTTTCAGCTTCTTCTAGCGGAAAGTCTGCTAAGAAATCAAAAACTGCAGAACCTTTGATGGCTTTTTGTGGCACAAATCTCAAGTCAAATTGAGCTAGATTGACTATCCACCTTGATAATATGCCGTTGAGTGTTGCTTTCTCGAACAAGTATTTGAGAGGATTCATCTTGGACACGACATGCACTGTATGAGTGAGCATGTAATGTCTTAGTTTCTGTGCGGCCCATACAAGTGCGAGACACAACTTCTCGAGTGGTGTGTATCGCGTCTCATATCCTTGAAGTTTCTTGCTTAAGTAATAGATTGCATTCTCCTTGCTTCCGATCTCTTGTGCTAGCATTGCCCCCATCATTTCTCT